TACAGTGGTGGAAATCAGCAAGGTGTGACTTTATATATTTCAGGAAAGAATTGAGACACACAGCTGAGAAAAGGAAGCATCATAGAGATATCACAGTATCTATGTGGGACATGCTTATTGTGACAGTGTTTCATTCTCAGTCATTTGTGGTAACAGTAGTGAAGACCCTGACTTGGTGAAATCCCATGCAGTGGGACCACTTGTGCTATGCTGCTGCATTCAAGGGCTTTCCAAAAGGCTTCCATTTGCCTACATGTCTTCAGATAAAAGACATGAGGCGTGACTGTTCAGCCATTCTCACACCAAAATCACTGCCTTCACTACATCTACTCCTTGGTAAGGAAGGACTTGCACCTCGTAAACTCCTTTTCCAGCACGACCATTAGATACCGCAGTTAAAAGCCTCTCTCTCAGCAGTCCAGATTTTGCTGTGGTTTTGGTATAGATGTAGGAATAACCAGAGGGTCTGCTTGTTCAATTAAGCCTTTAAAATTAATGACATCATTTGCTTTTGGCATATATGATATGTTTAAGAAGAAGTTTTTTCTCTGTATATGCCTCCCTCAAGCCCTGCTTAAGTGCAGCTTATAAGATGTACATGAGACCCTGATATAAGCTCTCTTCTGCTGGACTGAATTTTAAATTTAAGTATCCTAGAGTACAATGAAGTCATAGAAATAATGTTTAGAAGTCTACTAGATCATGAATACTGTTATTAAGAGGAACAACCTGATATTGAGAGTTAGTGTTTTTGCAGCACCTAACATGATGAGACCCAGTCTAGTTATAATTAGTCCACGCCATTTCTCAGTTTCCAGGCTGAAAGCTTGCAGTGCAATGGTGAACACGTTGCAGGCAAGACTTAGGTCTCATTTTCAGTAGTGTCAACTAAGAAATAACCCCCCCAACCATGGCAGAGGTATAAATATGATAAGAGTTTTTAAAATACATTTTTAGGTTTGGGCTTTTTTGTTTGATTTTTTAATACAGCTTGATTACTTACAGGGTGCATTTTGTTAACATTTCCAAATGTTGTTCTGGCAACCATAAGATTCATCAATTTTCAAAGTCTTACATCTGAGATTAACATTTTCCACATGGCACCCTTAGAATTGTGTATGGAAAAAAAAAGTATCAAAAGACGAGCAATAAAGTAGTGAAAATGGGCAGGTTAATGAGGGTTAATGAGACCTCCTTTGTCATATAATTTGGTCAGCAAAAGGGATGTCTAAGAAATAATGATCTTTGTGATTATGCTTCTTTGAGCTCACCTACGAGCCCTCAGATTTCTTCTCTAAATTATTTCCAACATTCTCAAACCCCGACAGATTCAATGACCTGCTAAACAAAATAAAAACTGCTTGAAAAACATTCCTCCACTACCACATCAAAATAAGCCCTGCCCATGACCACGTTTAGGTCTGAATTAGTGAGTGGTATGTTGCAATCCATCAGACAGAAATGAGAATCTTTCGTTACTGGTAAGAACATAGGGCACACCATAAAAAGCTGTCTCATAATAGATTTTGTTTTTTTTTTTTTTTTTTTTTTTGGGGGTTTTTTGTGGGTTTTTTTTTGGGGGGGGGGGGTGTCCCACAAAAAGGCAGGAATAGCATTTGCTTTTAGTTCTGAAGTCCAGAATTGTCAGACTTCAAAACCACAACAAGAACTACTACTTGGTTACCTTCTCATGTAACCACTCATGACCCCCATGGCTCTCCTTGAAGGCACAACCACCTAGGCTCAGTGCCACCAAGATGTGCTGACTTTACAGATGGAGAGTAATGAAAAATAGTATAGCTACACTGGAGGAGCTGGGTAGAGTGTCTTTCTCATCAACAGTCCATTATCAGTAATCACAGTTTGATTGGAACCAAAGCACTAACCAAAACTTCAGGGGAAAAAATGTCTAACACTGCTGGAATGGGGGGGTTGTTGTTTTCAATTACTCACTTTTGGTTTTACCCAAATCAGCTCTTGACGATTCTTGTGAAAAACAGAAGACTACTATTTGTCTAAAAGAAAATTTTCAGTGATCCAAAATAAAATATCTTTTAATTACAGAATTCTAAAAATCCTAGGGGTTTTGAGATTTAGATTTTTAAAAAAAAAATCACAATGTGAAATCCTTTATTAAAATAATATTTGGTACCCATCAAAACTATATATACTAAATATTAGAAAATAAAAAGGTTGTTTTCTTTGGAATGCAATTCAGAAAAATAATCTCAATAGTGAGAATGGGGGGGGGGGGTTTGTAGTAGGCTTTTTCCCAAGGCATAAGCTCTTGCTAGGACTTAACAAATAAGACTGAAAGCCATTTAAAAAAAAAGGAATGGATCAGGTATGAACTGATAAAACTTCCGACTTCTTTGACCTTGTAAACTTCACATCATAATGCATGACACAGCAGGAAGTTTTCCTAGAAACACGAGGTATGTACATCCTCTTATTTCCTTTACTGGCTTAAACCTAGTTTTTCACATTAATTACTGTTCGTTTATTGAATGGAAAGCATGCATTTTTAATTATGTTAGTTGAAATGTTGGCTGGTTGTGAAACCAAGTACTTGGAATTCGTCCATTTGAGCCACGTGAATCAGCAGTGCTGTTCTATGGATTTTGCATTTTTTTCACTTCAGCGTTTCAAACTGCAACCCTTGCACAGAAAATCTGGTAGACAAAGATAAAAGGCTCCATCTAGTGGGCAAGAACTTTTTGTTTAAAGGAAAAAAAAGGCAAGATTTTCAATTAATTTTATGCATGAAGAAATACTACTTTAGATTTTGTTTCATTAAGCTGCCATGTTGTTCTTAATTCTTGCCTTCTACAGAGCCATTATTTCATATGCAAAGTTGAAACGTTAAGAATTATTCTGACAGTCTTGAGCAAGAAGCAATAAATGATACTAAATGAGTGGGTTTATACAGAAGAAGAGTTGATCCACAAAGTTCTTCCTCCCCCCTTCAAGCTTCAATATTTAGTAATCAAAACCGGATAATTTGTGCGTCAACAAATACTTTAAACTATTTAAGGTTCTTTCCTACTTAAAACTGACTGGAAACATTCATAACGACCATAACACGGTATTTTGGGGAGTATTTTTTACAACGGGAACTCTGCCCATGTGTTACCCTCATCTTCATTAAATGACCTGTTTACCTGCAGAAGGTGAAATCTGGGTTCTCTGGCAACTCAGTCCAGTGCATCAGCTTCTGGCAAGGCATAACCCTATCGTCCTCGGCTGTCTCTTCCAAACACCAAAACTCATTCATCCTGGCATTTGTCTAGGAGCCTGCCTCCCATTGTTGTGTCCAAAATCATCCTGATAGAATCTAGCACCTTTATTTTAGGTACATAATTGATCTGGTACAATACTTTTTTTTTTCCTCTTTGCTGAACTTCTGCACTGCATTGCAGTTATGCTCTAAACTCTTGAGAGATTCGACTGGCAGGACTCTTCAGTGTAAAGCAGTAGTGAAACTCGAGTGTTGCTCTCTCATTCCAACCAAACACAGCTAGCAGCCGAAACCTCCTCTTCAGTTCGTTTCAGGCTAATAACAAGAGTGGGAGCAGGAACAAGTAGCAGTAAGCACAGAGCTGGCAGAAGAGACGCTGAACTACGTTGTATGTATGTCCTGCCTTTTGTCAGACTTTCTCTCATTTTCAAGCCATACAGCCTGGCAAGATCAAGTCCTCCTGTGCAGCTTCCAGGAATGGGGAGACAGTGTTAACATGCATTGTAGTAACACATTACTACACCTAAGTTTACTATAGCCCATGTTCACATTCACAATTGGAATATTTGTCTCCTGTGCAAATCACAAAATAGAGCTTAATATGTTGTTTTGCACACCTCTTGATCACAGCGAGATCTCCACTTGCAGTGGCCGCTTGATAGCAAATCCAGAGGATTCCTCCTTCAGTATTAGTGCACGATTTGGCAATTCTGACAGGCGCCACAGACTTGCTGATCTGCCTGAACAATTCTCCCCAGCTGCAGCTCTCCTTGTATCCTCCACGGAAATGTAACTCTGCAGCGCCAGCGAGTAAGAGCCATCATTTGGCTTGTTTTACAGACTAAAACAAAGGATAGTCTTAGAGTTCTTACACTGAACCTTTATATGCAAGGACTGATACAGAACTGACTAGTCTTAAAGTGCCTTTAGGGAAGTTTATACGTTTGCAAAATGCAAAAAATGCAAATCTCCAAAAGGGAGGAAATGGAAGATAAAAATTAAACTGCATTTTTTTGTTTGGGGCAGCTTGTATCTTTGGTCTCAGCTTGTAGGCAGTCTATGTAACCCTTAAAACATGTCAGCTAAACCAATACAGAACAGTTGTTTAAAACTTTGCAGATACTTCAAAATTATCATTGCAACTGCACTGTTAGCTGTGTTAAATGCTCCTAAAACCGACACTAGCTATTTGTTAACAGTAATGCCACTTGGTTTCTAATGCACATGGACACCTACCTCACTAGGCACATAATAGAAGAAAAGATGCAAGTCACTTCAAAGCAAAAGTTTATCAATTTTAACTGCAGGCCTTTGCTCTATAACTGTTCACACTTTAAGAGATCACAGGCTTGCTGCTGAGCTAAAGCAAATCTCATGTCTGGAACTACAGTAAGATCCTCTGCCTCATTTTACTTTAAATACCTTGTCTAGCACTGGTACTTGAGCTGTGCTAATGCAATAAAAATTTCCAGATGCAACACTCTGGGGGACATTCAACAATCTGCTTTTGTAATAATCTGCTGTAAACTCAAAATGCTAATTTGGGGATTAAGTATTAATTTATTCCCTCTACAGGTCATCGGACAGTCTCATACAAGCCTTCTAATTAATATTTAACATCCCTATTTTAGATGTTGTTTATCTGGGTTAGATTTACTCAGCTGTTTTTCCCTTCTTTGCGGGAGCAGTAGTCTTTACAATAAATGCACATCAATGCATTTCTTTCAAGAGTACCACTCAATCTCTTACTTATTTTTCATAGCTAACCAGGTGCTGAAGTTTGGAACGCTGGTCAGTACTTCCAACACGTATGATGACTCGGGGATTGTGACCATTGAGACGGACAAGCCTTTGCTATGGACAATGGCTATCAAAAGATAAGGTACAGCTGCCTTTTCTGATCTAACCCACTCAAATGACTGCAAGATTTCACTGAATTCAGTGAAGACAGTAAAGCTGTTCCAAAAAGATATAAGCAGGCACTGATTTTATGTACTGAATGGCAAACAAATCTGATATATAAGTCACTTGAGATCAAATCAAGATTAGCAGCAATAACTGAGTACTTCATTCTGGTACCTCACACTACCTAATCAGAAGACACATGAGCTGCCTCCTGATAGGATCACAAACAGAAGTGAATGTAAAGAAACTGTTACTGCTTATCTGGTTAGTTCAGACTATTTTTACAAAGTATTTTATTCCAGTACTGAACTATTTTTTCCCCTTTTGCTAAGAGGAAATTCAGTACACAGTTACACATAGTATAACTATACTAAAAGCTGATAGCACTAAGAGTAGTTAATCTCATTTTTCTGTCCTGGTTTGTAACATGCAGGTGCTGGTGAAGATTTCTCAAGAAGAGCAGTAATTGAACTTTTCTACTTATGAAGCAAGTTTGTGTACTGAAGAAGCTTCATTTTTGCTGTAATACCAATATCAGATCTCCTGGTATTAAGTGCTTTTAAAGTCTGTAATGGAAGTAGCACTGTAACTTCTGCAAACACCAAATGCTTATAATAAGCTTTCTGGAATGAAATATAAATTGCTTAATCTCAATCTGAGGAGGAAGAGCATTGCATCTACCAGATTTTTTACAGGCTTAGTTTTTAAAATCAAAATATTCAGTCATTTACTAATGGAAACTTCCAGGTCAACAAAAACAGAGCCCTTTATAATTCTATGTGCAGTTGTCTTAGAGAACCAGTATCCAAAATGGGTGTATATCCTATCCAACAGTGTGAGCAAGTTGTTGATTCGCTGAAGGACTTCTTAGTATCTCTGACAACTATATTAACCTCAAACCAGCTAAGTTTGGCTTTCTTTATTATGCCATCAGAGTAAGGACTGGCAATGCAAGTTCTTTATTTCATGGAGGTTTTTTTCCAGTCAAGTACATAGTATAACGTAACAGGACTTCCAAATGCAGAAAGGAATTACAGGTAATGATGGTGATTTCCAGATATTAGTGACAAGAATTCCAGTTGACAGATTTTTCAATCACCACTCAAGAGAATACAGTAATGCTGTTTCCTTGCTACTTTTGCTGGAACAATGCTGTTTACTAAGCAGTAAATTAAGCATTGGAATAGCTTCTGAAGAGAGGCTGTACAGTTGTCACCCTTGGAGGTTTTCAATACCTGACTGGACAAAGCCTTAAGCAACCATGTCAGAATGCAACACTGACCCAACTTTGAGCAGGAGGTTGGACTAGAGACCTCCCAAGGTTCCTTCCTACCTGAATAACTCTGTTATGGTTTAAAGAAGTAACAAAACAAACAAACAAAACACTCTACTACTACTAAAAAAAAAAGCCTGTAATGTAGACAGGTATGATCGCATACACTTTAAAAGAGGAATAAGATGACAAGAATGTTTGAAAACCCAAACTGAGCTTGTTTAATAGCAAACAAGTTAAAGCTGTGAAATCTTTGCAGCAAGTGTCACAACATCTTGTTCTTCATGATGAATATTCAGCCGCCTCTGTTGAGAGAACAAAGTAATCAGTTTCAACTAATCAAGTGTGATCAAGCAATCCCATCTGAAGTCTAATTTATCCTCCCACCATTGCCTTGTTAGGACAAACATTACTACCGTTACAGCTTATCTACTATTTTCAAACATTTCTCCTTGCCTAGACCACGACTCTTACAGGTATAAGCAAGCCACATGTCACGGTCACAGAACAGTATTTAACTTGTTCCAGTGCTAGAAAAGGGATTACATCAGTTCTGGAGAATCTCAGGAGTTTTAATTGGTAGTGTTAATATGTCAGTTCCATCACTGCCAGTCAACTTGAGGGTCAAGTTTTTCATGCTGCAACGTTCATTCTAAAAGGTATTTTACAAGATGCAGTTACAAGTAAAACAAAGTTTCAAACATATCTAGCACTCAGTAAATGAAACAAGACCAACTTTGTTCTGTGCCCTGTCACCTTCCAGCACAATCACTCAGTTTTCTCTACCTTACCATCCATGCATTTACTTTGGATACCCAAATTATAAACTGGAAATAGTGAGAGTATGTAAGATCCAAATAAAGTAAATGTTCTATGATCAAACACACACTGTGGAACTGGAACACAAAACATTTGATGTTCAGTTTTGAAGCAGAATACTTGAAAAAAACCTGAAGAACTATGGATCTAATATTTTGCAGCATGTTAAATTAACAACCGCTTCCTGATCAAGTCCTTTGAATCAAGTAATACCTGTCATATTACACTACCATGTGAAATGCAGAGATACTAAAGCAACACGGATCCTGTAGGGCTCACTAACATCCTCTGTTTAAAACTGAACAGGTAAAAACGAATGTCAAATTCAGTGAAATTAAATGTCATATTTACTTACACAATGATATTGTTGATTGGGATATGGATCAATTTGACAAAGAAACCAATAAATCCCATTATCGCAAAGCCTATTGCTGTTGCCATGGCAATCTTCTGGAACTCTATAAAACCAAAAAAATTTTAGTCTAGGAAGCCTCATGTATGGCGTACAGGAGATATGCGCTACAGTGACCACAGGAGAGAGATCTCTTTAGAAAACGGTAACGTTAACACAGGAAGCAGTTCAAAAGCAAACTGCATTGACACTGAGAAACAAATCCACTTTTTCAGAAGACAGATGAGATTTTAAGAGAAGATGCTGCTTTCCACAAAGCATGGCCAATCTTAACTTTTTAAATAATAAGCAGAATCAGAAATACCCACAGTTCATAACAATTTATGGAACACTTATTCCATTATCTTTACTTCATATCCCTACAAGGCCTGAAAATAATCCCCAATACAGTATAAAAAGATGGAAAAGCTGCATTTACGTCTGTCACAGGAAGACATATTAAGTCCCCACAGAAATCAAGTACTTAAGTGATATTCTCAATTATTTTAAGAAAGCAACCATGAAATGGACTAGGAAGGTCAACAGCCCCTCACAACCCTGCCAGTCTGACAATGAATGAAGGTCCTTACTGATCTCAAAAGATGTCAGTAAACTTCATCCTGAGCATGTGAATAAAGCATCGTAACTATCGCCATTAAGGACAACCAATTGCATTCTGGTTAGAGTCACAGCTTCTCTCTAATGCCTTTGAGAAAATCCAAACACCTCCTCTTCTATACTTCCAGCAACCAAGTTCTTCCTGTCACAATCAGGCAGTCACCTGACAACTGTGAAGTACAGAATGGGCACTGCAAAAAGCAGTCCTCGCTCCTTTTGGGTCTCCTAAAAATGAAGGGTTTCCTCCAAGGTCAAGTAACAAGCAGTTTCCTCCAGAATTTCCCCCAAGTTGACTGCAATCAGTCGCACCTGACTACCGTATTTATCTTTTCGAAGCGCACGCAAGTTCTTCTCGGAGCAGTTTACCTAATACATGAAACTATTACTTGCCTGTCTGAAAACAGCCAATTTCAGCTACTTAGCCTGTTTCATAAGGTGAGTTTTAGTACCACACTCACACACCTGACTGATACATACCAGAAAAGGACATATTCAAGTATTATTATATCCAGAACCATAAACCCATTAACAACTGGATAACTGCTCAAGTTTAAATCTCATACTGAAGGCTGAGAAACATTCATGACAAATGAATCAAGCCACATACGGAAGGATACATGGTAAAATGTAAGATGAAATAAGGATTGTTTCTGGGTTTTGTGTGCTTTACCTTTCCTGTCAGGCTTGGTGCATCTTTTAACAAGTCGTATGGAGTCTTTTACGAACTGACGGCTGGGTTCCACGAATTGCATTACCTGGTCCATGATTACCTGCAAAGATGAACGGATTTAGTATTGGCGGTGCCATGTATATACTGAAAGGGATAATTTTTTTTTATTACAGAAGTAGGAGTTACCTACAAAATCCGTAGAGACTTAAGATAAGGTGTCATACTCCAACCTAACCGGACTTGAAAAGATACTTCCACTTTGCAGAAAATAAAGACACTGTATCAATACACGAACATGAGGACCTACCACTGCCTGCAAAAAATATGAAAAACTATGCCTTTCGGCATAGCAGATGAAAACGACAGCTCCATCACAGCTTGCTTTCAGCTTACGTCCTACACTGTGTTTCTGAGGACACTGCTGAAGGTGTCTAAATAGACAAAAGTCACCGCTCTCAAGAAAGCCCCATGCCAAAGCTGCTGGAGGGCTGGCGCGCACCGAGGGAAATCCCGTGGCCTGATCTCGTTCTCCAAACGAGCACCTGCCAGCGCTGCCACCCCAAGCACGACACCGGGCTGGAGGGGTCTGCGGTCGTTAATCAGCACAGGCCCTCCGATACGAGGGTCCGGTCCCTCTCACGTCTCCCTGCGACGCGACGCGACTCCCCTCCTCGCCCCCGCGGCCGAGGCCGGGCCGCCCGGCC